GGCAGATGACGTCACATATTTTCGAACACGTCACAGTAAGTAGTTACATGATGGTTGGCGTTCATTGGTCTAGATAAATCATGATGCTTATAGAAGCTTCTAGAAGGATCTAGAAAGACAGGCTTAGAGGTAGCACAGAGTAGCGAACTAAGGACCCGAATATATTCACTTCGGGTTTTACCTTCTACTCAACAAAAGCACTAATTTGAGTGGCATTCTAGCGAAAGATATCGTTGTTTGTAAAAGTAAACGGATTTTCACTATGCTGGGGCTCAATATGAAATCGAGCACCGCGCAAGCCACCACGGATTTCATGGATGTATTTGTCGTCAATTATGCACAATGTTAGAGCAAAGGCAGAAGAGGAGACATGCAGTTGCGTCACTAATCAACCGATTTATAAATATCTTCATTCTTGATTCAGCATACCTATAACTTTTTTTCTCGAATCAGTTTGTATCGATTATGTTCCGTCTTCTTAAAATTTGTTGCTATTTTCAATAAAAATCATATTGGAGGTGCTTTAATTACAGTACACACCAAATATTGTTGTCATAATTACTTGATAATTATTTCTTGAGCTATATCCAAATAATATCACTTGTAAAAGTACCGTGAGCTTCTATCACGAGTTTTGCAAATTCACGTTTAGTTGAGCAAAATATCTTCACTTTATCAATATTGTTCGATATATATGTGCGCCTAATTGGCTTTACGTTAGGCTTGGCTGATTTCTATGGTAAATGACGATTGTGAAGATATGTGTAATCAGAGGCAATTTCTCCAGCCGAAGCTGGAGGAATCGGGATTATATGTCGTTATATCCTACTTATATTGTGTAAGCAAAAATTTTCCAGCTTTTCGCTAAATCGACTATCTGAGCCTATCCAAGCTTGCAAAGTAAGTGATTATGAACGTGTTGACCTGATCTAATATTGTGGGTATTTGACGCTAGTTTGGAAAGGCCTGAAAACGCAATCCAGCATTTGCTTACAGAGCAGGCGCAATATCTCGTCAGTGATATCATCCGCTTTGTTTTGTAACGTAATGCCTTTTTTGGGCATATGCCACGTATTCTGTTACCTGGTACCAATGCAGGTCATTAAATATGTCGGTCTCGCATATTCTGACAAAAATACCCTTTCAACAGCTAAGGTAGTTCATTGCCGTTTGCAGCGAAGGAGAACCCGATTCCTTGAATTTCAGCAGCATATGTGTTGCAAACGTCCCGAATATTGTCTTCAGCGTCTTG